TGCTTATGGAAGAGATGCCTTCCCAAATTCTGTGCTCACCTTTGGCACAATAAGATAGTCATTCCAAATAGTCTTAAGAGCATATGGATCAGATTCACACAACACATTGTCATGTATATTTTACTATTTATTACAGAAAGAGACATCCAGAGTATTCTCTGTATGTTCTGCCTGCTTCCTGTCAAAAACAAGAGCAAACCTGGATTGTTGTGTATCTGCTACTCATTGTTTCATTTGTTAGGCATTTTTATCTCAGCTTTATGATAGAGTAAGGAAATGCATTCCAAGGTGTATATTCATTCACCAGGAAGAGAAACTACAGTGAAAATGAAAACTGATGGATAAGAAAAACGATGAGTACTGGTAATCATCCAGGAACATACATGCTTATTCACCATAAACATATGCACAGGAATGTAAAATAAATCAGGAAGGAAAAGCAATAAAGAAACATATATTGTAGTTTTTGATGAAAAAAAGTTATTTAGATATAGAAAATCTAATACAGTTATGGGAAGTACAGTATTTTAACACTAGAATCAATTTAGATAAAGGGAGTTATCATTACTGTGAACTTTTAGGGTCAGACACAAGATTTATGTTAGTGGAAAGTGATGATGGGAGTTAAGGCAGTTTAGCCTTTCCATTTAAGACCAGCCAGCGCATTGTATTCTTCCATCATATGATTCTGTCAAGCATCTGCACAAGTCCTTCATTTAGATCAGCGCAGCATCCAGGCCTTTGGGCAGCAATACAGAGCACTTAGACTTAAATATTTTCCGTGTTTCTTGCTTCGTTCTAGTCATTCTGAGACTGCTTACAAAGCCTTCTCATCTGGCGATGAATTCACACCAAAATCCAAGGCCTGAACAATCCCTGATTCCGAAAGTGATAAGGTCAAAGACTTAGTCTGAATTGGATGCACTCCTATAGCTAGCTTAACCACCTCTAAATATCTGCTTCACATGTATTACCAGCCTTAACTATTGATTTGGGGAAAAAAATGTCTGTCTTTACTATGGTCTAGTTTCACATGTAGAATTATACAGAACTGGGGGCAGTTCTACACGTAGAGCAGCCTGCAAAGGGAGTCCCTAACACAGCAATGTATTTGGACAGTGTTTATGTGAGCAGCTTGTCAATAGTTTTTGGCCAAAAATTCCTTAGTTTGGGTGATTTCTGACTCTATAGGCTGATATTTTTTGTTAGCTCTAAAGAATATTAGCAAATATTCTCGTTACCCCATTTCACAAAAAATCATGGGGGAAAGAATAGTTGCACCCAAGAAAGTTGTGGAGTGCTTGTTTTGATTTTGTTCTTAAAACTGCTAAAAATGATGAGCCATTTCAGGAACCAGGCTAAATGTGTGTTAAAATATTGAGGACCTATTCTGGACCCTTTTCACCAATTTACAGATCCCTTGTGTGTGGTTTTATGAGCCATAACAGATGGTGCAATGTAGCCCTAATGATTAATAAAACAGTTAACCCCTCTTTAAAAAGTGTGTTAAAGATACAACATCTTCATATCATTGGTCTTGTTCCTTCTAATTTGGCCATTTTACATATGAAATGTTTTGGATCAGACTTGAACATGATGTAACTGCAACTTTGCTAGTGTTAGGGTTCTTCAAAATAACTTCCAACTTTTGAAATCACTATGAATCTAACTAATGCTGGCTCTGTTAAATTTAAATTTATTTGGGGATTTGCTGAGAAGGGAAAAATTTAGGATAAACGTGGTCTTCTTCAGCTAGAACTCTTCCTGTGGATGTCCTCATTCTTTGACCTTACCCTTACACCTGGGGGTCTTTATTGCACTGATAATGTGGGCCACATTTTTGTTTTCAGTGATTAGACCTATGTAGAAAGGGAGTGGAATCCTGCATAGACAGTAAATATAGTAATCATAACTAGTCCTAACTGAAGGATGGATGTCAGCCATCTTAGCCCCGTATTCCTGAGTGACCTGATATCAGGAGACTCTAAAGGGTCTGTTTCAAATTGTTAAGGTCCAAAATAATGGGGATGTAGTCTGGTACTCTTGCAGTGTGAAGGAAAGAGTTTAATAAATCAGAATTTCATTTAAAACAACAGAAATATAATTATTTAATGTACTCAAACATCCTCCCACTATGCTTGAAATCTAAACCCAACAGTGTTTTATTGTTGCTTGCACAAAGAATAAATGTATTATTTTCTTTTTTCTATTGCTTTGTACATCTGCTAGTTACAGTTGGATTTTAGCAACATAAGGAAAATGAGAATTACCACAAATCTGCATTCTTCATTGTTAAAATTCTGTGATAATAAATAGTGAAGATGGGCTCCTCAGTGCCATCCTAGAGAGAAATTCTGATCTTCTGACCATGTGTTTGAAAATTAGTTAGACTTTGACAATATGAAGAAGAGAAAACATTTATAAATATATGAAATTTATTATGGTAGCATCTCTTTTCACTTGACTTCCTAGCTGCAGTCAGAATAATGATGTATTAGAAAGATATTCCAAAATTTCTTCTTCCAAGATATTCCTGAAAGAAAGTGTTTTTCTCTCAATGTTCTTAGCAATTTATGAAACACTATTATTTATAATTATTTATTATTTATTACTAAATTATTATTATTAATATTATTTATTATTTA